GTGAGGCATGTAATTCAAGCTACATAGGGGAAACTGGAAGAGTTTTTCCAGTACGAATCAAAGAGCATCTTGCTGGTAAACGGCGCAGTAAGTTAACTCCGTTAGGGAAGCACAGAATGGAGCAGCATGGTGGAAATGATTTTAACATAAGGTGTACGATATTGGCTTACGAGACGGAAATTTCGTCGAGGAAAGCGTTGGAAGCGTTCTGGATTTTAGCTAATCCAGATATGAACAACCGAAAGGAGTGTGTGACGATCACAAATGATCAAATCTGCGTTCCAAATTTGCCAAGCATTTTTCTGAACGGAGTTATGAGGGTGGTTTCAGAGAGCTCAATATAAGAAAGCTTAAATCACATGTATGTGCTTCATCCCCAAACGGCGGCTTGGTGTAGTGTAGCCTTAAAGACTGAAAATACTCTCATGGTGATCTTATCGCGTTTTATGACATCTTAATGCCTTGATACCTTCTCATACCTATCTACCTGTTACCGAGTGGGAGATTCCTCCGTGCACAAAATTTGGAGATGAGTAAAACGCATATCATGAGCAATGATGATGCTAGATTGGGTGCGATGGTGCGTAGCACCTCCGAACTCCCCAACACCGGCACTGTTGACAGTGAACTCGTGGATATCTTCAAAGACCAAAAAGCTATTCACTGCGTCTTACCTCCACAGAAGCAGGAAAAGGGGATGACATCCTGCTCGAGGTTACCACGAGGATAACACAGCCTTAGAAGCTCATTTCTCATGTCCTTTTAAAAATATAGTTAAACCTTTATGAAATAGCTCACGATCTCAACTTTTGCGTGTACACACGGAACCCCATTTTTCACTTACTATCGCTTGTCTACTTTCAGTTCTGTACGGTTAGCTTGAGGAAGTTTCTCTTATATCCATGGTATGCCGCCGGCCACTTAAGCACTCACCCGGATGATTTGGGGCTCCACACAATTCTGTTATCCTTCTGATTTGGGATTAGTAAGTGTAAAGCAATGGGCTGTGACCAGTTCTTTTTAATCCGTTGCTCCCATTGTAAGAATCTTCTTTGGTTCTAGCATTTCGTGCTAGAGTAATACATTTGTTCATAAAGTGGCAAAAGCTACTGTGAATATAGAGTGCATGGGTATGCGAGTAAATCTGAAGTATTATTTTACGTGGATAAATATCAGCAAAAGCATTGGAAGGTCATGAAACGTGGTAAAATCATCACGAGAGTATGTTCTAGTACTTAAGGGAAAAATTCTAAATAAAGTAAAAATTTTGGCTCCCACAAAACCCGGACGCTAGTCTCGCAGATGAAGCGTCACACCTACCACAACACTAAGCCGCCGTTGGGATATGAAGCACATCCATCCGCTCAGAGAAATGCTTGGCAAATTTGGAAAGCAGAATTGAACTCACCATTCAAAAACACGTCCAGCACTATAGGTCTCATTTTCAATGGCCACTTTGACTTGGGATCCTTCCCTGGTGAGTCGTCGATCACGTAATGGTTTCCCTCGTAACCTTCTTGAACATCAGACCAAAGTTTGCAACTTTTGTCGTATTAGTGAAACTGCATGGCTTTCTTTTCGGACTGCTAAGCCAGCTGCTTGAACTGCTTCTTTTTCCATTGTTCTTTTTTTCTTTGACGTCGTAACTATGTCCAGTGACCACCGGAATAGGTTAACTCACTCAAAATAGTCAACAGTAAGTCGAACATAAGGTCCATTGTCGCACGAAACGAGCAAAACACGTGGTTCATACTTTTTGTTTACTCATAATCCTTCACTTATGACTTTAGTGAAAACGTTAGGAATTTCTAAAAAGTTCCGCATTTCCATTTATAAGCAGTTACCAAATAAGTTCCAAAACCTCGAATCAGAGCTCGTGGGAAACATCAAGCATATTTGGGAAACGAACCATCTGCTCTTTTCGCTTACCACTGGACCTATTCAAATGACAAGACAGCAAGAAAATGTTTTGAGTAAGAATCCAATGAAACTTGCAACCTATGCTCTTTCAATTATTCCTGGACCCACAAGTGGTTTTATAAGATTTTCCCAAAGGAGAGACGTGACCCTCTCAGGACTCCCCTTTCAGACTCAACCCGCTCCCGTTAATAGCTTATGAAGCAAAGACACGATTTCTGATTATCAACAACGACAATTCCCTAAAGCTACAGGCGTTGGTACAAGTCGTCATGCAACACAAACTGACACTCGGACTCTGAACAACGAAATTTTCCAACATTGACAGTCTGAAATATTCAGGTGTATTCAATGAACATAATGGTTCTATCATCCAACATCTGTATGATTTCATTTTCTCATTCAACTTCATAAATATACTCGTGGGAATCCTGCCTATTTCCACGAGGCCTCGTCGGTGGAAATAGAACTTTTGCCACATTCTGTGGCATGATCACATGGATGAAAATGAAATGAACATGACTGTTCAAAAATAATTTAATGGAAGAGGCAATCAGAAACCTTACAAACCCATTCTCGGGAACAACTCCGCATAGTTCGGACAGTTTTACAAAACTATGTTCATTTGATTGAAACAGTTACTTCTAAGAAATACCTTGACGACTTAACTGTGAAAATTGGTGAGTGACAACTCCACGCCTAAGTTCCAGCTCTACTCTCAAATCCCATGTCAAAAAGCAAATTCTCAGTTCAAGGCGCAGCATTTCAAGGGAATGGTGATCTACTATATTTTATTTCCACGTTCTTCAGCGAACAAACTATAACCTAGGAATTCGATTCACACAATCGTTGGACTAAAATAACAATGAACATGTTTGAAATTTATTCAAATATCTTTTACTATTAACCTGAACAGCTAAATCGCTTCTAGTGACCTCCGACTTCAGCCTCTCCTTCCTTCTTGAGTGGATTGTACTTCTGGAAGTATTCCTTGTCGGCCTTCTTCTGTCGAATTCCGTACCAATGCTCAACCTAAAATTAAGAAACATCATACGACTCACATACAATTACTAGCACAAATCCCGCTTCTATTCTCTTGCGTAATTATAGCACAATTGCTCAAATATGCTGTTAATTCTGTAGAACATACATTGCAAGAAAGAATGAATCTGACTTTTGAGAACAAAAAGCACGGACGAAAAGTGTGCGCTGTTCGCGAGCGCTTTGCTTGAATAATTTGACAAATCTATCAAAAATGCTAAACTACCTGAAGACTCAAATGACCGTGAGAGCAATGAGATAAAGCTGAGTACTAAAAGCACCAAGTACGTGGCAAGCGAATATTTCAAGGCATATTGCTTATGAAGAACGAGTACAAACTCCGAAAATTTTACATAGTTAACCGAACCGATGCCACCAATATGGTTTTAGGATGCACAACATCCAGAAAGCAATTATTTCTCTCTTTTGAACAACTACGTAATCCTATCTCATAACTTTGAGGAGAATACCGCGACTTCCCAATCTGAAGAGATACTTTCAAGTGCCAAGTTAAATAGGGTAAAAAATTACTTGAAATCTTCAAAGCTTCTATTTCAAGCAAACACCCCCCCCCCCCC